AAAAAAGAAAGAAAGAAAGAAAGAAAGAAAGAAAGAAAGAAAGAAAGAAAGAATTCCATAAATAAAAATATAACAAAGCTGACATTTTTCCTAATTAATCTGAACTGGGGGGAAATGATAATAGATTTAGACTAATAATAATACTGATAGAAGGAGGAGGGTCATGGATTGAAAAAGAAAAAGAATGGGGCCGGTAGATGGCATGGTGGTTAAGGCACTGGATTCCCACATGGCTGGCCACGATTCAAATCCCAAACCTGGTAGGAACCATGCTGGACCAGTGTGCATGCATGCCCAAAATCCTGAGAGGAGAATGGAGAAGGGACTGTGGCTGGCCATCTCCTCTGGGGGAGGCGGTTTCTCACTTTACCTGTCTAGGTCTCTCTGACTCTCTCTGGCAAGCACGTGTGTCCTATGGCAAAAACCTAAAAATAATAAGAAAAAGTACGTTAACTTCCAGAATAACTCTGACCACTTGAACAGGTTGGAAAGCCACTGAGAGGACGAGTCAGAGGAGAAGCAAACGTGGATTCCTCCCATCCTGTGCAATGGCCAAGCTCTGAGACAGCAATGTCACGTCAAGCAAGAGAGAAGAGCAGGTCACAGGCCGGACCCTTCCAGAGTGAACGAAGCTGCCTCAGAGCGTCAGCGCTCACGCCGCAGGAGCCTGGTGAGGAGAGGTGCTAAGGGAGCAGGAGGCGCATCCCAGAAACATGACCAAATTGTCTTTAATACACCAAGTACTGCCTAAAGCTTGGCAGCCTTTGAGCCCCAACTTGGAGGCTTCAGTCCCTCAGTATGAATGAGAATGAGAGTGAGCGCGAGAAAGACGGAGCGGGCTCTTGCTCCCAAAGGCCAAGGCACCCGAGGCTGATGGGAGACGAAGAAAGGACGGAACAACCTCAAGGCCCACGGAGACTTCCCGGGCCGAGGCAGAGGAGACCGAGAGCTGGGAAGCCCGGCTCCTCGTGCCCTCACAGCAGGGGGCAGCAGCCCGGCGAGGGCACACACAGCCCTCCATACCTGATCGTACCCATACAGGGTCTCGAAGTCCTTGGCTTCGATGAGCTTTTTCACCTTTTCCACGTCCAGCTCTTCTATCCTGTAGTTGAGGTCCCCCAGCCACAAGATCACACTGAGGACAGAGCACAGGGGTGGCAAGGTTTAGGAGGGACTGTCACTCGTCCATCCAGGGTGCTTCTCACAAGGCCCCAAGGCTCAGCCCCTGGGATTGGGGCAGGCCGGGGTCTAGGCTGCTCAGGAAATTCTGTTCTCCGGCCATCCCATCTAATACCTCGCCTAGCAAGCGGCTCCTCAATTATCTGGGCCCAAGCTCATCATAAACAGCCTTGAGTTCTCCTGGACTAGCTTGTTGTGAATAGTTGGAAAGACAGTGTAATGAGAGCTCAAAGTGGGCCAGAGGTGGCACGGATGTTAAAGCAGCTGGATCCCATATAGCTGACTGAGCAGTTCGAGTCCTAGACCTGGCGACTTGAAAAACATACCAGTGTGGCCGGCATGTGGTGTGGTGGTTAAGGCACTGGACTCCCACAAGGCTGACCGTAGTTTGAGTTCTGGACCTGGCGGCTTGCTTTCTCACTTTCCCTTTCTCTCTCTCTCTCTAGTCAAATTAATAATAATAACAATACATAAAATTAAACAACTAATTAATTATTTAAAAGAAAAACACATGCAGTGTATGTGAGTGCATGCTCAAAATTCCAAGAGAATGCAGAAGGGATTGTGGAGTGGCCATCCTCCCTGGGGTGTGATTTCTCACTTCCCTTCTCTTTCTCCCTCTGTCTCTCTCTAGCATGCGATAACAAACTAAAAAAAGAAAAAGTGAAATAATAATATATCCCATTCCTAGAAAGAGGTAAAAAAGATTTCATGAGTCACGCCAGTCACCCATGGACCCCAATCAGACGTTACTGCGATGCTGTCTCGCCTCCGTGTACGTCCCAGTGTACGGAGCACTCAGCCTGGTTCTAGACGGCGCTCTCTGAAACAACTCGGCTCTCACAGTGGGGCCTGGACTTCCCCACCACACGTCGTTGGCTGCTCTTTGCCCTCCAGGGCAGAGGGTGACAGGTGTTTTTTGGCACTTGCTGCTTTGGGGACAAAGCTCGCCGAAGGCTCCCTGACGACATCACACACGTCTGGGCGTCCAACACTGCTCTACCCCAGGCCAGCAGCCATGCAGTGAGAGAACCTGCTTGGCAGTACGCACACTCCAGGAGACATGCACCCACAAGCTAGACACAGACACACTGCCACGCGAGCGGCCACGTGCACTCTGGGCTGCTGAGGGCTCACCAGGAAGGGTCAGCTCTAACATGTGCTCTCTGCTGGGTGCCCTGAAGGCGATAACCCATGTGGTCCACCTCCAGAACACCAAGGAGCGCCAGAGATTCCACCGCAGCAGGCAGGGAGGCATAGCTCTGCCTAGTCCCTGGCAGACACCACAGCCTCAGTGGCTTCTTCCTCAGAATGGCTGGGCCAGCAAGTGGTGTGGAGGTTAAGGTGCTGGATCCCACATGGCCAGCTACGTGGTTCGAGTCCCAGACTCGCCGGCTTGAAAAATCACGTCATTGGGCACATGTGTGTGCATGCCCAAAATCCTGAGAGGAGAATGGAGAAGGGATTGTGGCATGGCCACCCCCATTGGGGGGAGGGGGGTGATTTCTCACTTTCATTTTCTCTAACGAGCACGTGTACCCTATAGCAAAAACTAAAAAATAAATAAAAATAAAAGAAGTGGCATACACTTCGACTGTTATCAAAAAGTCTAGAACCGAAAGGCTCTGAATATACACAAACGCAAGTTTTAGGTAGTGAAATAAGGAGAATACGCATAAATGAGCACAAGACGCTATAAGCAGCAGCTACAGGTTTGCAAAGCTGGGTCAAGAGGAAAACAGGACCGAGTGAGGCAACAAGTGAAGTCTGGCTCTCCCTTACACATGCTCTGGAAAGAATGGACTTAGAAGGGCCTGAAACGTCCTCAACCCTAGGTCCGCCATGCTCACTCTCTGGTTGCTTTGCTCACGATGCAGGATTGAGGCAGACCTGTATTAAAATAGACCTTAGAGACCAGCAGTTGGTGTAATGGCTATGTTGCTGGACTCCCATGTGGTCTACCGTGGTTTGAGTCCCAGACCCGGTAGCTTAAACTCACGCCGGGCGGGTGTGTGTGTGCGTGCCCAAGAACTCAAGAGAAGAATGGAGGAGAAGGGACTATGGTGTAACCATCTCCCCAGGGGGTGATTTCTCACTTTCTGTCTCTCTGTCTCTCCCTTTCTGGTGAGCACATGCGTCCTACAGCAAAAACCTCCCAAATAAATAAATAAACAAATAAATCTTATACTTTTCTCAGGGACGAACGATGTTTAAAGAAGGCTCTAGAGGTCTGCCAGATGGTAAGTTAGGAAACCCCAAATTTCCAAGAGTAACTGAGAGCTGGCTGATGCGTTCACTCCCCTCCTGAACTGAGGACAGAGCCCAGAGCCCTGCCCTGGGCATGGGGTGAAGGGTGAGAACTCGGAGCCCAAACTCACTCGTGCTTGCTGATGGTGAGCGGGGGAAGGTCTGGGTCCACCTGACAAAACTGCATTCGCGAACAAATGTCTTTGTAGTCTTGGTTCCTCCTCTCATACTCCTCCATGTGGGCCGCCAGGTGAGAATTCACCACGCAGATGCTGGTGTTGTGGAACCGGAACCTGATCGCCACGCCGCCTTTGTTACCCTGCGAGGAGAGCCCCCCAAATCAAATTCACGACTCCACTGTGTTGGTCGTGTAAACCCAGAAACTTTCAAAACGTTTTGTCTTAAACAATCTTCCCAAGAATCCCATGAGGTGAGAAAGCCGCATTACTGTCTGTATTTTACAGATAAGGAAGGAGTCTGAGAAGGCAAAGTCCCTAGCCGGTCAGGAAGGCCGAGTCCAGAGCCAGCTCTCTCAATCCAGGGTCCTTTTCGTTAAGCCTCATGCAAACCCATGCTCTCCCTTCTCCACACAAAGCTAAGCTCTTGCAGGAGACCCAGAAAGCTGGATTGTATTAGCCTCAAGGAGAGGAGGGCCAGCCCGCTGCAGGTTGTAAGCAACACTGCAGTGCAGAACCCACACGGGAAGGGAAGGTCCCGGCGTGGTGCCCAAGGCCTCCCTGTACACACCCAGGTGTGCATGCACCTGCCATATCTGGGTTGGCTGCGGCTGAGGGTGGATCATGGTATGGAGACTCTTTGGGAGGGATGCCTGTCTCTTTCTTGGAAGGAAGAAATAAATAACTTTTTAAACAACAAGAAATTGCAAATCTGTCATCTGAATACTTTGCTTTCTTCGGTGACCCAACATAGCTTCTGCCACAATTCCCGGATTAAACGGAAGGCAAGTGGAAGCCCTAGGGTTGTGTGAACACAAGCCTAGGTGCTACTGAGAGTTGGGTAAATCAACCAGCGAGTCTCTAAACCACGACTGCTAAACAGTCTGCCCAATCCAGCCCTGCCCGAGGGTACACTTCATCTTGCAGTACCTGCACCCTCAGACGAGGAGGCGTGCAGTCACTCATGACAAACTGGGCCAAAACCTTAGCGGTCAAGGTCCTTGAAATGCCAAACACAGCAACCGAGAACTCACCATCCTCCCCATGATTCCTGTCCCCACCGTCTCAGCGTCCACTTCGGAGATGTACGCGGCATGCTCTTGTCTGACGTACAACAGCAGCATAATCCCAACCAGTCGGATGAGCTTCACCTGGGAAACAAGCCAGACACTCAGTCACCAGGGCAAGCAGGAATACCCGTCTCAGAGGAAAAGTGGTCTCCGAGCCGATTGAGAGTGTTCGCGTATCTCCTCCTCTGTGCTAGGAAGGACAGGAGGAGATCCCATCGGGCCCCCAGAGCATGCCATGTGATAACCCAAACAGCGGATGACTGCCAGGTCCCTGCACCCTTCCCACCCGCAGGTGCCCCTTCTAGACGGCCCGGAACTGCCAATGCAGGGTAATCAGGACCAGCTTATGACAAAGGTCATAGAAAAGATGAAAAGTGATCTCAGAATTTCTCTGTATGACAACATAAAATTAAAAGGTCCTCAAATGGTGTCCAGCCAGTGGTGTGGTGGTAAAGGCACTGGACTCCCACATGACCGATGGTGGTTTGAGTCCCAGACCTGGTAGCTTGAAACACACCAGGCACAGTTGTGTGCGTGCTCAAAATCCCGAAAGGAGAATGGAGGAGAAGGGACTGTGTTGTGGCCATCCTCCCAGGGGGAGATTTCTCGCTTTCCCTCCCTAGCTTCTGTCTCCCTCTGTCTTCCTCTGGAGAGCACGCGTCCTATGGCAAAAAACTAAAAAAACAAGGCCCCGACTCCTCTCCTACCTTTGCATATTTGGCATCGGGATGAAGACTCTCTGACACAGCTTTAAACCACTCTTCCTCCTTGGGGGTGTCATGAAAGAAAAAGGCCTCCTTGCTCAGGTCAAGCTCCTGGAACCTGCTTAGAGAAGCAGCAGTCAGAGAGGAGGGACAGGCAGGGTGCCGGGACACGCTCTCAGGTGGCCTCGCTACACATCCTGACCGTGCAGCCAACTGCGGGCCCTGGGGAAGCAAGGCAGGGAAAGCCAAGAACTGAACGGCAAGGGGCTCCCCAGTTTCAACTGGGACCCAGACCTAGGTCTCTCGTCCATGACCCCAGCTCTTTTCCATGTACCACACAGACGTCCTTGCTGCCCATCCCCACCAACAATGCCCAGGAGGTGTCCAAACACAGAGTAACTGCTGAGGCCTTCTTTATAGGCTTTTAAAAAATTTTATTTTCAAAAAAAAAGGAACCAGCAGTTAGCGTAATGGCTATGTCGCTGGACTCCCACGTAGTCGACCGCGGTTCGTATCCCGGATCCGGTGGCTTAAAACTCACGCCGGGCACGTGTGCGTGCGTGCCCAAGATCCCGAGAGGAGAATGGAGGAGAAGGGATTGCGGCGTGACCATCCCCCCTGGGGGGTGATCTCTCGCTTTCTGTCTCTATGTCTCTCTCTGTCTGTCTGGCGAGCGCACACGCCCTAGAGCGAAAACCTCTCCAAAAAAAATAAATAAATAAATAAATTTTATTTTTTATTAATTTTTAAAAATTTATATTTAGGGACCAGCAGATGGCATAATGGCTAGATTCCCACATGGCCAAATACAGTTCAAGTCCCAGACCCAGACCCCCTGGAGGGTGATTTCTCACTTTCTGTCTCTCTGGCAAGTGTAAGCACCCTATAGCAAAAACTCAAACTCTCTCAAAAAAAAAGAAAAAGAAAGGAAAAAAAAAAACTTTTACATTTAATCACTACACATCTTTACAACATGCAAAATTGTTTCTCCCAGTGTGAATCTTTCTAGGCTTTATAGAGCCTTGTTTAGCTAACCTTCTTTCTCTGGCAAAAGATAAGATTTTTTATTCATAACCAAAAAAGTACTGAATGTCTGAGTAATAAAATTCAGTTCGAGATGCACTGACTGTCAGAGTGTGACACTAAAAATTAAATACTAACGCTGAAACGCCAGGCACAGCATGACCTCATGCTCATGCCAGACAGCCGCTTCTCCCGAGGAAGAGC